AAGTATTGCTTTTTAATACCACCTAAGCCCACCTGCATGATCTGTATTCAAACAAGCAACCAGACCCTTGCAGCCTCTCCCAGATGGCCAGTTTAGGCAGCTGTCGGGAGAAAGCTGGGTTTGGAGCAGAACACCCTGGAAGGAGCCATGCCTCTGCCTTTTCTTAGGAAGACTTACTGTTGCTGAATTTCTGCAGGTGTGCAATGGATATGCCTTGGTTCCTGAAAGACAGGGCTGGTATGGCCCTGAATCTCTGTTCTTCCTTCAATTTTTTTTTGCCTAAAATATACCTTTCCTACTTTACTCCAATTCTTTCTCCTGAAATTAGGCAAAATTAATGGAATCTTTAATGAACTAGGGACATATTGTACACAGCTGGAGTGGGAGAAACCTAAGAGAGAGGAGAAAGAGTGAGTGGGACGAAACACTGCAGGATGGAGGTATGAGGGTCCTGCAGCTCTAGGTCTGCTCTGCTTTTGAGGCAATGATGCACCTTCCCAGAGATTCGAGGGGAGGCTGATTAAGATGAAATGAAGCCACAATCATGCTTTATTGAGGTAGAGAGGGGAAACTGGAGGCTCATCCATGCATTCGCTCACTCACCAAACACTTGTTTGATTCCCGTCTTGTGCAGGCTAATGCATCAAACATGTATAGAGCATCGAGCTTGTGTAAGCCCCGTGAGGTCAGGAACTCATGCTGATGATGACAGCGAGCATGTACCAAAGAAAAAAGAAGCCATCTCTGTTGATCTGTGCCCTGCGTGGGAAGGAATTCCAGAAACAAGTAGAACATAAGGTTGTGCTTTCAGGGACTGAGAGAAGAATTCCTCTGAGTATAGGCACGGGGAGCAATGCCTGCTGTAGGAGCTGACTTGTCAATGACTCCGGGTCTGGGCAGCTGCAGGTATTCCAGAATATGTGGCAGCATATAAAATACTCCCACAATGGATGAAAAATCTGGGTGTTTCCATGCTGTATGGTCTGTCAGTAGTCAACATTGCCAAAGTTAATACAAAGAGGAAAGACTCAGAACTGTTTAGTGGATGCTAATTAAAAAAAAAACAAAAACGTGGACCTTAGTTCCTAGCCAGATCTAAACGAACAAACCTGGAATTGAAGAAATTCAAATGCATGTGCCATTCTTGGTTTAGGAAGCCGTTTTCAGCCTGTGTCTAACAATGAAGTTTTCCAAGGGGTGGGTCAGACCTCGGTGGACCCTGGTGTGTAAGTCCCTGACTACCGGAGAGGGCCACTAGAGGGCGATACGAGGCTCCCAGCTGTGGGTTTCTTTTGTCTTTCCCTTAAGGAGCATGTCCAGGGTGCCTCTCCACCCTCAAGCAGCTACTGAGTTCTACTTTCCTTTCTCTTTGTCCATTAGGTAAGGGCACCTCAGATATCCCAGATCTCTAGAAAAGTCACAGCCAACTCACTCAGAAAAGTGTTTGTATTTAGTGCTGACTTGGTGAGAAAAAAGAATATGTCACAGCCTGGGGAGGGCAGGGAGCAGGATGGACAGTTTCCTGACCACTGTGGTCTGGAGCCTGTGGCAGACAGCACTTTCCGGTCTCCTCCTTGCCCTTCCTCAGTATCAGCAGGGTCCAGTCCCTAGAGAACTGTGGATGTCCCATTCTCCCGGGGCCCTTCTGGCCTGCTCCCCAGCATCCTCCAGGATCAGAAGCAGGTTCCTATTCCCACAGCTGAGGCTGGGAACGGGGCTTGGGTGGGGAGGCTGGTGTGCTGATAACCCACAAGCCAGCAAGAGTCTGGGCTGAAAAGCGTGCCCATCTCTGAAAACTCGACTTTCTCTGTGTTCTCCCCCCACCCCCGCCCTGCTTCAGTTTTCTTTGTAATGGTTCACTTTGAAAAATACCATTTCATTCTTTTTTTAAACACAGGGAAAATGATGTTGTCAGCTGTGCAAGTAGAGCTGGAGGTGGGGAGAGGTTCTAGGGAGAGAGAGCCAGTGCCTGAGCAGCCAGGTCAGGGGAGAGTGTGTGAGTGGGTGTGTAGATAGGGCTTCTGACCCGTCTGCGCGGAAGAACCCGTTTTTCTTTTATATTTCCAATCCATTGTGGACCTGTACTTTTTGTAGAATACAATAAAAGCAAATTACTAGAAAAATGAAATAAAAAAAGAGACATGCATACAAAAGACGAGCCCTAATTTTTTATGATTGTGTTAAACAAACATAAAATTACTCTGTCAGATTGCTATAAAAGTTTCTCAATTCTTGCTGTAATTTTTCTGCTTATCTTGTACTGGATTAGTAAAAAAAAGCAATTTACAGACTGGCACCAGTTTGGGGGGGGGTCACATATTGTGTAGTGCTGCTGTCTGGGGGCAGGGTCTGTGGGTCAACGGGAAGGGCTGGTTCCTTCCTGCTCCCCACCATCGGTGTCTCCCTTCATGACCTGACATGTGCTCCTTTTGGGCTTTTTATAAGGGGTTGATTCTTCCATAGAGGGTGTGGCAAGGGCTTGGGGTTCTGGGGGTGCATCCCAGCTGACCCACGGAGACCCTGTGCTTCTAGATTATCTGGCTTGTGCTCCTCTGTCCTCCCAGTAGGATCTCTGATTGTTCAAAAAGGGGAGTGTGTTCTGGACAGGCAACGAGAGAGATAGGGAGGAGGATGAGGAAGAGGAAGAAGAAGATGTTAAGAGGATGGAGTGGGAGGAGGGAGGGAGGAAAGGAGATAGAAGTAAAAAAAAAAATGCTAGCATGGGTTGTCTTACTAGCTCCAAGTCTCTCTGTCTTCATTTGGAATAGAACCACAGGTAATTTAGCACCCAGAGATGAGTGAGTGGATGTACTTCCAGAATCTATCTTGTTAATCTGCATGCACATCACCTGGAGATCTTGTTGCCATGCAGATTCCCATTCAGGAGATCTGGGTGGCTGCCTTCCTAATTAGCTCCCAGGTGATGTCAATGCCACTTGTCCCAGGGACACGGAATTAGTAGCTCAGATGTAAGAGCCCAGAGCTCTCCGATAAAGTTGAGGCCTCCTTCACAGGCAGTGAAGGTGGGGGTCTGGTGTGGTCTCCATCTGTAAGATGAACTTCGCTTTCTGCAGTTCCAACAGCAGGAGCCTATGAAGCCAGGCCAGGGCCTTGCAGGAACAAGTGTAACTAACCCTTGACCACTCTCAGGAATCAAGAAGTGCGACCTCCTTGAACAAACCAAACCACACTGTCAGGCACTGCAAACCACGGACCATGATGACCAATACAAAAGGAGTTGATGTATTTCTATTAACAGAATGCATTTTACAACCACGTATCTTTTTAAACCAGTAAGGGGCTCACACGGGGGCTCTGGGCCAGCCTCAGATCTGTCTTTGGTGAACTGGAAGGGCTGGGAACAGAAATGGGACTGCAGGTAAAGGCAGAGTCCTTGGTACCTGGAGGGCTCTGGGCCCCCTTGTCAAGAATTCTATGATGTATCTGGGCCAGAAACTTTCCTGGCTGACCTTGGTCTTGCTGGACCTGGGAGAGGCTCCTTAGCTTTGTGGTCACTCATGGTTCTTGGCAGCAGCTTAAAATTCATTACAGAGCTGCCTGCCCCAGGACCAGTCTTCTGGGATGTGGAGATTGATGCTTTTTCCTTTCAGGGTCAAGACGAATTCATGCTCGAGCATTCTCTCTCTCTCTCTCTCTCTCTCTCTCTCTCTCTCTGTATGTGTGTATGAAATATTTCTCTCTTTCAGGAAACTATTTCACTTGTGTGGAAATAAGACATCTGTGGCTGTGTCCAGTGTCACTTCTGCCACCTAAATGTGTGTACTGGAGGGGATGTCCCTTCCCACCCCATTGATGGCCTTCTGTTGAGAGGGGAGCCCACAATTCAGGAGTTTCTGACCCGTGTAAGGGCCCAGGGACTCTCTCACTGCTGGACTCAGGAACAGACCCCTGACTGCCCAGGGAGCAGCGGAGGCTGGGTGTGGGTATAGGCTGGGGGGAGGGGATGCCATCACTGGTACAGCACATCCTTGCAGTCAACGAAGAGATCTCGGTGTGCCTGGCTTCTTGGATTCAATTCTTTGCAGGACGTTTCTTGGGCCGAGAGTGTGTCGTCTCTGTGTAGACAGAATTGTCCTGCGGGAGTGCTGGATCAGGATGAGGAAGCAGATGTAAGACAGAGGGCAGGGAAAGAGCAGGGATCCGTCTGCCTCCCCTCTGGGAGGGGAACTTTTCCACAGGCCTGGCTGTGGGGGACAGAGGAACTCAGGTCAGGGCACCCATGCTCAGAGACACATCTCCTCCCCACCTCCTCCACGCCATCTCTCTTCCTCCAGAGAGCATAAACCCAGCCCAGGAGATCACATTTTTAACTTATACTCAATATGAAAACAGACAGAACTAGGTAGGGGTTGGGAGACGTGGGTTCTAGTCCTAATCTGACCCTAATCACCAATTGTGTGGCCCCA